CCAGCAGCCTGCCCTTCCCTCAAGGTTTGGAGCAGGGAAGGCTGTGCGCCCATGCCCCACGCTCCTGGCTGCTGAATGGGCGGAGGGGTGCTGCTCTGCCAGCCTGCCCTTCCCCTCAAGGTTTGGAGCAGTGGGCAGGCTGTGCGCCCATGCACCACGCTCCAGGGCTGCTGAACGGGGTGGGGGTGCTGCTCGCCAGCAGCCTGCCCTTCCCTCAAGGTTTGGAGCAACGGGAGGCTGTGCGCCCATGCCCCACGCTCCAGGGCTGCTGAATGGGGGGGGGGTGCTGCCTGCCAGCAGCCTGCCCTTCCCCTCAAGGTTTGGAGCAGTGGGCAGGCTGTGCGCCCATGCCCCACGCTCCAGGGCTGCTGAATGGGGGTGGGGGGTTCTGCTCTGCAGCAGCCTGCCCTTCCCTCAAGGTTTGGAGCAACGGGAAGGCTGTGCGCCCATGCCCCACGCTCCAGGGCTGCTGAACGGGGTGGGGGTGCTGCTCTGCCAGCAGCCTGCCCTTCCCCTCAAGGTTTGGAGCAACGGGAGGCTGTGCGCCCATGCCCCACGCTCCAGGGCTGCTGAATGGGGGTGGGGTGCTGCTCTGCCAGCAGCCTGCCCTTCCCCTCAAGGTTTGGAGCAGTGGGCAGGCTGTGCGCCCATGCCCCACGCTCCAGGGCTGCTGAATGGGGTGGGGGTTGCTCTGCCAGCAGCCTGCCCTTCCCCTCAAGGTTTGGAGCAACGGGAAGGCTGTGCGCCCATGCCCCCCCAGGGCTGCTGAATGGGGGTGGGGGGTGCTGCTCTGCCAGCAGCCTGCCCTTCCCTCAAGGTTTGGAGCAGTGGGCAGGCTGTGCGCCCATGCCCACGCTCAGGGCTGCTGAATGGGGTGGGGGGTGCTGCTCTGCCAGCAGCCTGCCCTTCCCCTCAAGGTTTGGAGCAGTGGGCAGGCTGTGCGCCCATGCCCCACGCTCCAGGGCTGCTGAATGGGGGTGGGGTGCTGCTCTGCCAGCAGCCTGCCCTTCCCCTCAAGGTTTGGAGCAACGGGAAGGCTGTGCGCCCATGCCCCACGCTCCAGGGCTGCTGAATGGGGGTGGGGGGTGCTGCTCTGCCAGCAGCCTGCCCTTCCCAGGTTTGGAGCACGGGAGGCTGTGCGCCCATGCCCCACGCTCCAGGGCTGCTGAATGGGGGGGGGGTGTGCTCTGCCAGCAGCCTGCCCTTCCCCTCAAGGTTTGGAGCAACGGGAAGGCTGTGCGCCATGCCCCACGCTCCAGGGCTGCTGAATGGGGGTGGGGGGTGCTGCTCTGCCAGCAGCCTGCCCTTCCCCTCAAGGTTTGGAGCAGGGAAGGCTGTGCGCCCATGCCCCACGCTCCAGGCTGCTGAATGGGGTGGGGGTGCTCTGCCAGCAGCCTGCCCTCTCACAGGCTGCGCCCCCCTCAAGCTGTTGCGCTCTGCAGCAGTGGGCAGGCAGGCTGTTCACTGAGAGAGGGGAGGAAGAGGACGAAGAGGAAGGGGGACCAAGAAGCTGGGTGAAGGGAGATGAGGTACCATAGGTTGCCGTGAGTGGAGAGTCATGGTAGAGGGCAAAGGAGAGGGAGCAGTGAAGGGAGAAATTGTAGACGTCACCTGAGGAGTTTGGGTGAAAGGGATGGAGTGGAGGAGGCTGGAAAAGGGGGCTGTTCTGCTGGGAGGGGGGACAAAAATGTGGGGAAAAGGAAAGCTCCCAAGCCTGCTACTGAGAAGCTCTGCTTGGCTGTTTCTTGACTGTAATTCAAGTAAAGGGAATGTTTGCGAGCAGCTGGCAGGCTGTTCGCTGAGAGAGGGAGGAAGAGGATTGAGAGGAAAAAAAGTGGCATTAGCAATGCTTGGATGGATACGAAGATGGTATTTTACATGAAGATAGCGAAGAAGTGATGTCTCTGACTGTGAGCAACTGAGCTTCATAAATTCTGACTTTAGCAGTGATGAGTTCTTGGGGTTCACAGAAGACTAGAAGAGTACTCAAACCTTAAAAGTCTCTCTTCATTTGTTAATGACAGTGATGATGGTTCTTAATGCATTGTTGACTGCTGTTCACTTTACATGGCTGTAATGTGATTCTGAATATCCAGTTCTTTATTAAATACAGTAGTTTATACAACATTTGATTCAGAATATTTTCCTTGTTTTCCTCCTCTAAAAACTAGATGCGCCCTATGGTCGGGTGCGTCCAATGGAGCGAAAAATACGGTATGTTCACATATTCTTGAATCTTTTGTAACTGTGTGTGTGGCATTAATAGGTTAGTAAAAGAAACCTATTAAAGGCTTTTCAAAGGAATTATTTTCTTCCTACTTAAGCAAAGCTTGATAACACCCATGCTGAAATGCTGATCAATTAAAGGGAAAGTTTTCCAATTATGAGTGATGTATTCAAGTCTGCAGTCCTACTTTGATTAAGTGGTACCTCTTGGCCAAGGAAGATAACCACTACTTCATCAACCTCTGAAAACACAGTGTCAAATTTGTTTAAATACATGTGCGTAAGCTCCCGTTGCTCTGTCCCCAGCTTCTGCCAACCAAGCAGTTCGAAACCACACCAGTGCAAGTACACAAATAGGTACCGCTGTGGTGGGAAGGTAAACAGCATTTCCATGTCTTCTACCAAAAATGATTAAATGACAAACATTGATAATATGTGCATACTAAAGCAAAATGTAATTTAGCACAACTAAGATAAAATTCAGTTGCAGCTTAACATGTATTTTCTATGGAATACAAATGACCACAATATTATGAAGGCCTACAAATTCAGCATAAGTAGAATAAGAGCCTGTTCATACAAACAAGCAGCAATTATCAGACATGCTAGCCACCATACAAGGGAAAATGGCAGCCCTTTCTGGAAAATACACCAGCTCAATAATGGGAAGCCACTGTGGTCATTTGCTAGCCTTGCGGGTGTTTTTTTTAAAAGTTTCAAATTACATGAAAGTTATTTGTTGGCCTGAATTGCTTAGCAAATACATTGGGAGACTCAAGGTTAGGAACAGTTAGATTAGCATATATATGCTTCATAGAAACATTGGTTTCAAGAGTCTATAAATTATATACAGCAGACTTCAATTTGCTGCTGGCTGTTGGGTTCTTGTGGACTCACCTCCTCACCACAGTCACTATTGCCAATTCACTTGCATCCCCTCCTTCTCGAACCAAACTGTACAAAAGGCAAGGCAAGGAAAATGGAGGCTGTTGCTCCTTCTCATTCTTGCCACCATGTACAATCTTGGAAGATACATAGTGAATGGCGGGGGGGGGGGGGATGAATTTTAAAGATATTAATAGCCAGCTTTCAATATAACTTATGAAGCTTGTAGGCTTAATCTGATTGGACACTACGTGAAATACAATGCTGGACTAAATAGGTGTTTGAGCTGTGTTTTATTGCATTAAATATGAGGAGTTCCTTACCTGTACAGCACTATTAAGAAAGCAACTGTTTTGTCCTGGTTCATTTAGCAAGCCCTTGGTAGGCGCCAAAGACATCACACTTCCAGGTTGATATACTTTTCCAAGGTTTCCTCCAGGTTTCCTCAAGAACTTTACCCATGCCATTATTTAGGAAACAGTGTTTATAAAATAAGACTGAAGGATTCCAAGCAAAGCAAACCTAGTCCTGACAGTTGCCTTTAAGTTACGGCATTGTGTTCAGAAGTCCAAGTCTTCGGATTGCATTAAGTCAATATCGCATCTACTCTTTTTATTTTAAAAAATAAAGATAAAATAAAATGTGAAAAACTTTGTTCTGATGAGTAGATCATGTAATATTATGATGATAAGCCATACAAATACTTATGGACAATCTTTATAGCATTTCACCTTTTCTTCTTCTTTAATATTAGTGCAAATGACTCTTTGGAAGATAATATTTAAATACTATGGCAGCTTTATATTGAAAAAAAACAGGAATTCTTAGCTAGTTTTAGCTATAATCAGTCTTTTTGCAGGTTGGTTCTTTCTCTTCGTTTTAAGAAATAAATCACATTTCTTCCTGTGGTTTGCAAAAGTAATTCCACTGTGTATCTGTCTTCTTTCAAAATCTGTAAGGAGAAAGGGAGAGGGAATCTGAAATTAGCAAAAAAGTTGAAGTACACAGCTGACAGCAGCAAAGACAGAACATAGATGGATACACAGGGCTTCTCTCTATTCCAGCTATTTAGTTGGGATGAAGAGATGGGTTGTAAGAGCTGAAGAGAGAGATAGTAAGTGGATTTAATAACTTCAATTTCCAGGACCATTTCACCATTTGGAATGAGTGATCCCAGGAATCTGTCAGAAGAACATACAGATGATGCAACATGCATTTCAGCTAAACATTTGCCAATGGAACCTTGGTATAAAGCATCTACCAAGTAGAATACATCTACCAACTGATTAAAAAGCTTCCTAAAATCATCACCTCACATTTAACTACTGTCAACCACTACAAAAAGAGAGGCGTTAGCTAATCAAGGCATTTCTTAAGCTGACCATTTTGAACTCAATCATAGAAAAGTAGAATTGGAAGGGTCATCTAGTCCAACCCCCCTGCAGTGTAGGAATCATTCGCCCAACATGGGGTCTCAATGTGGGGAATGTAGTTATGATAATGGAACAGAAAGCTTTCTTTCTATGGACCTTTGAATTAACTTATCTTAAGATCCAGCTGTTAGCTTTCCTTTCCCAATTCTAGGTTTCTATATATTGATAGCATAACAATATGAATCCTTGGGGCACAAATACCCGTGGCAGCCGAACTCAATGTGCTTTTGGATGAAACTCACTACCTAGACCCATTTCATTCTGTGCCTAGGTTTGGTTTTACACTGAAACAGCTTTAGCTAATGATCACTGCCAGGAGTTGGAATGCAAACCCTGCTCGTCTCCTCCTTGTCCCACAGTGACTTTTAATAAAATAAAATAACACAGGCTTTGTGGATTGGGGGTAGAAGGCATAGATATAAGTTGGGTCCAACCTATCTACAGGGTTAGCTTCAGAAGATGGCATGGGGGGCTCCTCAGCCCCCATGCCAGTTGTGCTGTGGGATCCCACAATGTTCTATTCTATCAATCTTTTTAACATCTATATCAGAGATGGAGAATCTGTGGCCCTCAAAATATTGCTGGATTACAACTCCCAACATCTCTGACGACTTGCCATGCTGGCTGGGATTGATGGGAGCTGGACTCCAATATCTAGAGGACCACAGGTTCCCATCTCTGATCTATATGAAGCCACTGACTGGGTGGTGGCATTAGGAGAATTTGGGTGAGGCACCATCAGTAAGCTAATAATATTCAGCTCTACTTCTCTTTCCATTGAATCAGGTGAGACTGACCAATGTTTAGACTTGGTATTGGGCTGGATGAGGATCATGAAACTGAGGCTAAATCCCTGTAAGTCTGAGGTCACTTGCACCAGTGTTCTTGTGTTCAGACTCTGGGAGTGCAGACTGTTCTAGATGAAGCTGTACTCAACAAAGCAGATGTATTGCGTAGCAATGTCCCTTGATCAAGCTCTGTCATTTGAGACCCAGGTGGCCTTTTTCCAGCTTTAGCTGGTTCAGCAGATATGACTGCTCTTGGATGGGGATGGTCTGCCCATTATCATCCATGCTCTTGAAATATCCCGACTGAATTTACTACTAAATATTATTCTGAGTTACTCAGTGCTGCTCAGTTAGCTGTCTTTTTTAAGCTACAATACAATCAAAAGGATACACAGGTAATGAGTAAATCCAGAAGACAAAATAAAAACATTAGATAGTTGACTTCTGAGAAAAGATATTTGTAGTACTGAATGAGTGTAACTACAGATAAAGGCTGTACAAAAAGAGAATAACGTTACTTTGAACCAAGCCAACATTTTATGTATTTTTCCACCAGTTCTACAGAACTCTTTGTACTCATGCAATGGTATCATTTAAACTGCACTTCTTTGTAGCAACTTGTTATTTTCAGTTCCAGAGGTACTAGCACTAAATTTTAACAGCTAAGGTATGCTCAAAAACAAGAGCCTATATACATTTCCACATAAAACTGGAATACATCAACATACCCAAAATGTCAGATGAATGAAACATCCGAAGCAACTTGGTAGAAGCCCAGCATTACAATATATTTTCAACACTAAATCCACCTTATGTGAGTAACACATTAGGTTTATCTCCCTATCCAACCTCTTACACATTTTCTGAACCACTCCACATTTTTGTGCTTCTAGACCCAGATTCAAACAACAGACTGACAATTTTCTTTGTGTGTGAGGTTATTGAAATAACATGTTTATGGTATTAACCAAAATTAGAGAAAACAAACATGAAAATATTCATTTCATCATTTGATGCTAGGCACCGTGGGTGGTCTAAAAACAAAACACTGTCTTTCTCAGAGAACCAATAATTATTACAAAAATGCTGACAAATGTATGCAGGCCAGTCTCAAAAGAACTTTTTTTTGTCCTGACTTAAAATACTGTTAGGAGTGGTAGCAAATACGAGATACCTTTATCAACACAAAGCTGTAAGGAATATTAACCCATGTGCAACATTCAGCAAAGGCCAGAATAATTTGTCCTATGAACAGAAACTGCAAGTGGCTTTTTAACACCCAGATATCCCCATGTCAAAAAGGGTATCAGAGCTGTGAAAGTTGGCAACTCCCAATGATCAAGGGGCTGAGATACTTTCCCTAACAACAGAAAGGCTGGGGCTTTTTGTTCAGAAGAGGGAACATCATAATAGAAGTTAAGAATGTTGAAGAGAAAGCAGAGAAATGCCTTCTCCTTTCTCATACTATTGACAACTCAGGCAAATTAAATATGGTAGATTCACAACAGTCAAAGGAAGTACTACTTCACACATGATGCATAAACTTATGGAATTTCCTGCCCACAAAATATAAATGATATGTCACTTGCTTAAACACATTAATGGAAGGTTTGTTTATCAACAGTTTGTTTATCAACCATAAATATCCATGATCAGTGGCCACACACCTTGGCTGTGGGAGAACTGTTGTTATCATGTCCTTTTTGTGCACCTTCAGGAAACTCCAGGGTGACCACTTTGGAAAATAGGATGCCAGACTAGACAGGCCTTTGGTCTGATCCAGTACAGGTCTTATGTACTTAGCTAACAGTGGCAGGCCATTTGTAATACCTGCTGATTTAAACAGAGTTCCTGACATCATCCCCACTGTATCAGCCATTACCACCACTATTCTTCCACGATAAAGCAGCTACAACATGCAGCACTGTCTGACTCCCTTCTCCCAGTAAGAACAATAAAAAGTACAGCAACTTCCATTTCATGAAGTTAAAATATGACCATATTTAATAAATATATTTATTGACATAGTGCGATTTTTAGTTTGAAGGAGAGCTATCTCTTCCCCAAAACCCTTTAGATTTCATAGGACCTAGGATAAGACCTTCCTATTGAACCTCCAGCATCTACTGAATATGTTCATCTACTGAATATTTTCTTATTCCAGCAGGTATTAAAAGTAATTTCTGATTTTAAGTTTAACTGATTTAATTCTTATTGTATTCAATCTGATCCCCAACCGCTCAGAGACAACTGTGATTTAAATAAAATACATACTCAGAAATGTTCTGACCCCCAAGAATTTACCTTTAGTGGAACTCTACTCTTGTTTGAACCTTTGTGGGGGGGGGTTATGATTTTAGTTCTTCCTCCTTCTGCATAAACAGTCCCTTATGCAAATGGAACGAGCTTCCCCACCCACCACCACAGAAAATATACTTTTTTGAGTGGGTGAACATTCTTTAATATTCAGTTTTGCATGACTGTGCTAAACTAGTGCAGTGCATCCCTCTTGGCAACTAATGATCTAGAGTTATTTCGTTTTATAGCTGAAGGTCCTATGTTATACCTAAAAGGCAAAAAATTAAAATATTTTTTACCCATTTTAAAATTTCAACCCTCTGCTCTCCAGAAAGCCAGTTGAAATAAAAACAAGTTCTACACTGCTTCCTCAATATCCTCATATTTCCATTCTGAGAAGTTTACTTGGGAAGAGTATTTCATAGTTTCATATTGCAAAATGGTATACTATAACACTATAAGCCCATTCCCCTAGCACAGGCATAAGCAAACACGGCCCTCTATATGTTTTGGGCTACAACTCCCATCATCCCTAGCTAACAGAACCAGTGGTCAGGGATGATGGGAGTTGTAGTCCCAAAACATCTGGAGGGCCGAGTTTGCCTATGCATGCTCTAGCAAACTAAATCTTAGAAGACTTAGAAAGAACTTCTATGTCCCAAGACTTGTGAATTTAACATCAAGATTCCACTAATAATCTTTTCATACAATGCACAGGGGTGGAACCATGTCCTGAATACGTGGAGTCAGTTTTCAGGAAGGTGGAAATATTTACAAAAATAAATAACCGGGAAAGTTTTGAAAAACATCAAATAACTATGGCTTGAGAATTTCCACTTCTTACTCTGCAAGGCATTTGACAGATTACTGAAACAATGCCTGCATCTGATGTTTTGAATCTAGTTTGAAATGCTTCCAAGATTTATAGCCGTTTAACATTACTAGCAAATACTGCAAATCTGATCTGCTTCATTCAGTTCAAAGTATGAATTATATTCACTTAGACAATTGCTACAATATTTTTTTTACTATTTGATTTTTCAGTGGGTTTCTTCAGAAACGCTATCTCCCTCAGCCTGCAAGCAAGACGAGTGCCAGCACCCCCCAGTCGAATTTGACTGGACTTAACAGTCCAGGGGTCTTTACCTTTATTACCTTTACTGCATTGAAAGAATTAACACATTGGGTATTGAAGCTGGAGGAGCAAATACTACTGTGCTCAATTGGACCTGTTTTTCAGAAAGGTACTGTCTGTTCACTCAAGGGTGAAGGGCTCCAATTTCTGTTAATTCTCCCCACACCCCACTGCAGCCACCTTTGCTGCACTACTTGCTTCTATGAAGCGTGGCTTTGGGCAAGAAATATATCCCACCCAACAAACAAGCTAATACTGTACATGTATTTATCCATTCAATGCATACGGCAAGTATTTATTCATCCAAATACTGTGTTATTACCAAAGTTCCTGGGTGGCTCTTTCACAAAAGCATAATGTGGTTATCTGAAAAACTTCACAGAAAACAAAGTATCAGTTCTTACTGCTCCGTGAAGAAACTGTAAATACCTAATAGTTATGTCACCTTTCATTTCATATGCAGTACAGCAAGCCACACATAAACTGCCTATAAACTTCAAAGCAGTTTCCTTACTTAATGCCAATCACTGAGCATGTGTGTAACATCCAGGTTAAAATTAACACTTATGTTAACACTTTGAAGCTAGCCACATTAACAAAATGAAGTTTCGTTGATTTAACATGTTCATTGAACATAGATACTTCAGAATTAGGTATCCCAAGTATTTTATGCAAAACCACAAAAATATTTTTTAAAGAATATGGGCATGTCATTTGTGGTCTTTTTCATGCAAGACAGGCATTCAACAAACTCAAATTAGAGAAGACACAGGATTAAACAGGGGACAAAAATCTGCTCGGAAAACTGACCAACACATACCCAAGAATGGGAAATCAGATACTGTACTGGATACTATGCAGATCCTATTCACACAGGTTTCAATGATCCGGAAAGGTTAAATTTAGCAAAACCTTGTCTGAATGCAACGGCAGTCAAAACAATGGCCCAGTGCGTGGGCCAGTCTCTCAACCCGGACCATTCCTCGCCCTAAACACGCTTTCCAGTCACAGCATGCTGATTACTTGCTTCTTCATTCGATGTAATAATATCTGCTGAAATTAACCATGGAGGGGGCTTTTGGGAGGAGAGGAGAGGGGGGAAAACCAGAACCGTACCACACGCTGTGGGTGAGCGGCAGCATGTAAACACTTAAGGAAGGCTCCGGATTAAAGAGCAAAGTATGGGCGGAGAGTGTCATAAGCCCAGCCATTTCAACAGCCAATAAACAGATACGGCTGGAGCAGAAAGCGTGAAGTAGTAAACAAGGAGGAAGAGAGTTTTATTATTATTTTTTAAAGGGTTAAAAAAAAACGGCTCGAAGGGCTCGCCAACCAAAAGGAAAAATATACATAGGGTAGGAGGAGAGGAACAGGTTCTTCTTGTTGTTTTAAAGGCGATGGTGGACGAGAAAGAAAGGCCTTTTCACCAAGGAGACCCTACCCTTAACTCCCCCGCCCACCCCGCGAAGGCCCTGGAGGGATGCGTGAGAATGCGAGGGGTGGCAGCAGCAGAGGCGTGTCGTGTTTGGGGGCCCCCCCCCCGCATAAGAAGCCGACCAGCTCGGACCACCAGACATGCTGGGCCAAATCCGAGAGGGCAGCAACGAGCTGGCCCGTGAGGGGGTTAAACTCAGCTCACACCCGCCGCCGGCCGCCGCCCTCAGGCACCTGCCGCCGGAGGAAAAACTTTCCGTGCCAGGAAGTTCCAGGCTGGAGGGAGGAGGGTGAGGGTGTGTGTGGACGTGGAAGAGAGAGAAGCTGGCCAAGGGCCTCGCTCCCTACCCCCCCACCCCCAGTTCTCAACCCGACCGGCTTTTCGAAAGGCCAGCCGTTGGCCACTCGCTTCCCTTCCCCTCCTCCTACCCAGACGTGCCTCTTCGGCCGGCGCTCCTCGCTCGCTCCGCGTCTGAGGCGCCGCTTCCCCCTCATGGGAGCCCCCCACCCCCCACTCCACGGCCACCTCAGCAGCAGCACCGCGCGTCCCCTGAGGGACCTCACCTCCTCCGGTGCGACGCCGCCGCCACGCCAGTCGCTTCTCCCATCCCGAGCGCGGGCTCCTCCGTCCGGCAGGCGAGCAGACTATGCCGCAGGCAGGGCTCCTTCCCCCGCCCACCACCACCAGCACCAGGCGGTGGCCCCGCCCCCTCGCTCCCTCTTCGCTCCCCCCCCCCCTCCCCGCTGAGTAACTTTCTTCTTTCCCGCTTGGAGCGGCGACGCTCGAGCGCGTTCGCTGAGAGGGGCGGGGGGGAGAGAGGGACAGAACCTGAGGAGGCGGGGAGGAGGAAAGAGAAGCGGCAGGGCGGGAATTCTCACGGGAGGCGCGCTCGCGCACGGGCAGGCCGGGCGCGCGCGGCAGTAGCAGTAGCAGCAGCAGCTGACTGGCGTGGGCGGGGCAAGTAGTCGGGGCAGTCGGGAGCGAGTTCCTGCTCATTCCGATGACTTCAGACGCTGAGGGAGAAGTGGGAAAGGGGAGGGGGGAGAGAGAGAGCGAGAGCGCGCGGGGGAAATGCCGGCTTCCGATTGGGCAAAGGAAAGGGAGGCCGTAGGGAAACGAAGGCTGGAAGTGATTGGAAGTGCGAGGCGTGACGTCATCTCAGGAGCATCCAACCCAAGCTCAGGGTTTTGCCCACTCCCCCTCCTTTAATCAATCAATCAATCAATCAATCAACCCCACAGAGCCTAGGACGGCGGTGGCGAGGGAGGTTGGCCGCGCGCGGGATTCCGGTTCAGTTCATCCTGCGGGCTGCGCGACCCAGAGTGCTGATGAAGGATGCTGGGAAGAAGCCGAAGGTAGAGCTGTCAGCAAGCTGCGGAACTGGAGCTGGCAGCCTGCTGGATCATTATTTACCCACACTTCACTCTAAGGTCTCAGCATCCTTTTCTCACAGTGACCAACCAGGTGCCTGTACAAACCCTGCAAGCTGGGCCTGAGCTGAACAGCACTCTGTGCCCACTCACAGTTCCCGATAACTAGTATTGAGACACATAATTTCCCTGATAGTGGAGGTAGAACATAGCCATGGTGGCAAGTGCCCATTGATAAGGGGCAAGGCATTTGCCATCAAGCAGCTCCGCTTTTCTTTCTTGCAGAAATCTAATGGACGGGAACAACGCTGAAAACATGAAAATAACCCCATAAATCACCCTGAATGTTGAGAAAGATTGAGGGCACAAGGAGAAGGGGACGACAGAGGATGAGATGGTGGACAGTGTTCTCAAAGCTACCAGCATGAGTTTGACCAAACTGCGGGAGGCGGTGGAAGAGAGAAGTGCCTGGTGTTCTCTGGTCCATGGGGTCACGAAGAGCTGGACACGACTAAACGACTAAACAACAATATACCCTTATTATTTTTATTCCGTCACACACACCCCATTCATATCCTATTCTATGGCTGGCAGCAGAGGCTGGTATTGGTGAATAGTTTAGGCACCAGTCCTCTGGTGCCTAAAGGTCCTCTGGTACCCACCCCTGACAAGCCGCCACCACCACTGTCAGGGGGATCCCCAGAGAAGTGTAGATCTTGCTTGGATGCTGTGTCACAGTGGCAGCAATAGCTCCTAACACCCATGCAGGGAAGCAGGCAACTGTCCAAAGAAGTGGTTGAGGCTGCTGCTTTTCTGTCTGCAGTGGGTAGCAATAGGAAATAGGCTGGGCACTGCTGCTTAGAAGGAATGAAGCAGGCAAGGTGAGACTGACTCTTTGGTGCAAAGTGATGGAGTTAGAGAAGCAGCCATATGCCTTCCCTTCATCACATCTCCCTCTGGGCGCACAGAGGATGGGCTTTCTTCTACATCTCTACTCGTCAGCGTATCCACTCAAGGAGCAGCTCAATATGGTCCCCTCTGGAAAGGTAGGCGTTTCACCCAGTTCACGTGGCAATGCCATTAGCACAGTGCTCCTCAACCTTGGTCTCCAGGTGTTGGACCTAGAATTCCCATTCATTCCAGCCAGCCTTGCCCCAGGGTCAGGGATGATCCGGGACTCGCAGCTCTAACACATTTGGAGACCCATGATTGAAGAAGACTGAGACAGAAAAAGTGAAGGTAGCACGAGATGCTTCTTGCCTGCTCAGGTCAGCAAGCTGTGGAGGTAGTTGCAAGGAGCAGTAGCTACTGTCTTTGGTCACCTCCCTCTGGACGGTGTGTTGGGAGGATTAGACCTCTCCAAAAAAGGAGAGACAAAGGTCTGATGCAAGATTTCATAAATGGCTTAAGAACTGGAGGGACTAAATATTATTGGAAGGAAAGACATGGACAAACAAGGAAGGTATGGAGGCTCAGGAACTGTGGGGCCATATTATTGCCATGAAAACTCTTATTAGTTTCGGTTTTCCTGACATTGGAAAGAGGTGACATTGTGCAGTAGGGGTAAAAGCTATTGTGAATCTGCCCTGCATTGGAATTTGTTGGGAGCAATGTGATGGCGATGGCAGAAACTTCAGATTGGGTGGGGCGATTAGGAGGTCACAATTTTGTTGTTTTACTACACTGCTTTGACCTTTCAGCAATAGCAGAAAGCAAGTTTATTCTGTCTTCAATTTTGTCACTGTTCTCATCACCACGTGGACAAAGCAGAAGTTGCATGGAGAAGCTGCATGGCAGTTGTATGGAGCATCTTTGGGGAACGGTCTCTTCTGCAGCTGATAAAAGAGCCAGTGTGGTGTAGTGGTTAAGAGCGGTAGTCTCGTAATCTGGGGAACCGGGTTCGCATCCCTGCTCCTCCACATGCAGCTGCTGGGTGACCTTGGGCCAGTCACACTTCTTTGAAGTCTCTCAGCCCCACTCACCTCACAGAGTGTTTGTTGTGGGGGAGGAAGGGAAAGGAGAATGTTAGCCGCTTTGAGACTCCTTAAAGGGAGTGAAAGACGGGATATCAATCCAGACTCTTCTCTTCTTCTCTTCTAAAATGCCCTCTCTCACTTCTGGATTCCTAGATCCACTTTGAGGCTTGTTGGTTCATTTGAATTTGTAGCCTGCCGTTCGTCTTAGGGCAGGTTATGGACATCTCCAGAACACAATTTAAGTAATTAAAAATAAGTTCAAAACAGTATTTTAAAAGAGTTTACAATATAACAGAAGTGGGTACTCCATATCACTAAGCTGTATCCAAAGGTTTGGGCAAAAAGGTGCATCTTGACCTGTCAGTGGAATTGGACAGTGATAGGGCCAGGTGCAGCTTGGACAAGAGGGCTTTCCATGCACTGAGGGCCACCACTAAAAAGGCCCTTGCATATGTTGCCGCCCTGTAAGCCTCAGAGGTTGGTGATAGTACCAGGAGGACCCTGCCTACAGATCTTTACAACTGGGCAGGTCTACGTGGTAGGACAGGGTCCGTGAGATATCTGGATTAGACTCAATACTCATGTTGTTCTTGCAGTTTTTTCCCTCGCGTATACTGCTACCACGCTACCACAAGTAGCTCCAGACCACACGGGACGAGCTCGCAATGTTGCTATTCTGCATCTCAGCATCATCCTTGGGGCTACTGGCATGGCTCCTCCTGAGTGGTCCTGGGTTTCTTGTGCTACCTGCAAGCACAGTAGGGAGCAGCGCTGCTGTGATTTCACAGTCCTACTACAACATAAATAGTGTGCCTTAGATCAGACTACAGCTCCCATCATCTCTCACCACTGGGCATACTGGCTGGGCTGATGAAGTCCAACAACATCTAGAAAGCCACAGGTTCCCAATCTTGCTTTAAATGAATAAATGACTCCTGGCTGACATAGCTTGCAAGAAAAAGGCTAGATAAAAAACATGTTTAAAAAATAGATATGTTGAAAAGGGTTAGACAGAAGTGTGGGGAAATAGAGATTAGTAGTGTGAGGCACCTTTAATGTCTAAAATGTAACTTTCCTCAGATATCAGATTAGAAAAGCATAATTTTGTAAAAATAAGAACAAGGCTTGAGAAGCAATACAAAGGACAGTGTGCATCTTATAACCATACCTACCTACATTCTTAGATTTTCAAATGAAAGACAGATTTGATTTTGAATGGAAGGTCATTTTTTAAAATGAATTTACATTTTATTCCATCCAACCATTGGGTATTGTTTAGTTGTACTCTCACCAGACAGTTTTCTTAAATTCAGTGGAAGAATATGCACTTAATTTTTTTTAATTTCTGATTTCCTGTTGTTTTCTCTTTGAGATGCCTAATAATGTTACA